GGCCTTTTATCATAAAGAAACAACATTTATTCCCTATTCTCATTTCACGTTGGCCTTCCCCAAGGTCCACAAACCCATCAATTAAATCTTTACTTTTATTATACGAGAGATCTTGTTTAATAATGATTTCATCAAATAACAGAACGCATATGCGTTCTGTTGAAGAGAATTTACTCACAACAGATTCTAAATTGCCAATGACATTGGCGTCGAATCCCGGGACATAAGGTATGCCCGGCGCCCCATAAGGTATGCCAACGTAAAAGAGAAGTTTTGTGGGGGTTCAAGAGTCAAGTCTCCTTCATCATCTACAGGAATTCTTTCATAAGTTCTAGTGACAGGGGGGCAATGCCAATCAGAGCCGACACTAAGTGAGCGACTTCTAGTGTCGGGCTCCAGATTCAAACAGGGAACGGCTCTATTTAAAAGTATATTTTTAGTTACATTCTGGGGCTCAAAATGGCGTTGACAAACAAATAGCCTGCCAGGGAGGGACGGATCAACTTTGCAAGCCAGAGCCCAACTATTTCGAGCCTCTCCATACGGAGGAAACGCGAAAAGAATCTGCTTCGATGTGGATACGCAGCAGCTCACGCAGCAAGCACGCATCCGCTTGGACATCATGCAGCTATTCGGTGGACCTCCATCATGGCCTAACAAAATCGAAAAAATTTTACTTTTCTTCAAAAAAATCCCAAGTCGAAAAAATTTAAAAGTTTAATTATTACCTTAAATATCGAGAAAATAGAAAAATTGCATTAACATTTTCGACTTATTTACGTATGATATTTAATAAAAATATAGAAACTCTTTCGTTTTCCGAAAAAATAGGTGTTTTCAAAAAAATTCCAGGTCGAAAAAATTTAAAGGTTTAATTATTTCCTTAAATATCAAAAAATAGAAAAAATGCATAAATAGTTTCGACTTTTGTTTGGAAAAATGCTTCGTTTTTAGAAAAATTTGGTTTCGCAACTATTCGCCAAGTTAAAAAACAAAGGAAAAAACATATATCGAGGTAGTTTTGAACCAAGAAATTTTAATAAAATGTCACAAAAATTGAAAAAGGTGCATAACATTTTCGATTTATTTCCATGGTATAATATAAGTATATTTTTTTCTCAAAAACATTTATGGAGTTTTCTATTAAAGAATTTTTACAAAATGTCACAAAAATCGAAAACTGCGTTCGATTTATTTTCACGTTATTGGTAAAAACCGGTGAAAAAAATATTATTTTTACCACAAAAAATTCTTTTAACAAAAAAGTCCCACATTTATGGAGTTTTCTATTCAGAAATTTTCAAAAATCGAAAAATGTTTATAACACTTTCGATTTATTTTCCCGGTTTTTGTACCAAAAAGAGAAAAAGTTTGATTTTTCCCGAAAAAACTGTTGACAAGAAAGTCCATTATCTACTTATGGAGTTTTCTATTTACAATTAAAAAAAATATATCACAAATATCGGAAAATGTTATATAATATTTTCTATTTATTTTTACCTTATTTGTACAGATCACGGGAAAAATATATAATTTTTTTTAAAACAATTCTTTTTACAAAAATAACTAACAGTAGCGGAGTTTTATATTTA